TCCCTAACATTAACCCACCCCTAATCTTAAATGCTGCCATAACATGGCATTTTATGATATATTGGGAATATGAATTATCAATTATTAGAGGGGGGTGGTTTCAACATTAGGGGAGGCAATTAACATGGAACCCTACATGGCCTTGCAGAGGACAGTCGTCTACAAGGAACCCTCTGCAGCTTCCATGTCAGTTTGGGGAACGGTCAATACCCGCAATGCTTGGCTCGGCTTGGCACGTTGAGGATCTCTGTCTTAGCCGTCCTTGCCACTTGTTAAACACCCCAAAATATTGAATCCTTTACCCCGATCCCAAAACCCAAAACCAAAAACCCCAGACCCGAAACCCTCAACCGAACAACCTAGACCCATGAATCCTCAACCTGGCAGGGTGGTCTGTCTGATGCAAAAGACCTTACTCTCCGGTGCTGATTTAGGGTTTAGGGTTTAGGGTTTGGGGTGGTCAAAGACATATATGGCTTCAGCACGCGCATCGCACTGCACGCACGGAGTCTGTTCTGGAAGCACGAAGAGCCCGGAAGGTCTACGGGGGAAGGAGTGGTGACCCACACCAATGCGGTTTAGTATTTGAACTTGACCGCATATGTACTCCTCCAAACTACATGTTTTTTATGGAGGGTCAACAATTCAAGGCCCCTTGGGGGTACTTCAGATTCTATGGGCCACGTCATACGGGACCCAGAAGAGGGGCCATAATTTGTTGACAACGTCATGGGATCCATGATAGTTTACACTGGAGAAGATAACTTTGTGGTTTCAAGGTGACGTGTTAAACTGGAGAACTGGAAAAAATGTGGGGCTTCCTAAAAGGAGGATTTGCTAGAGAACCCCCCCACATACTTGGTAAGTGAACTATAAAAAAAAGGCTGCGCAAATTGAGCCCAGCGACCCTTCTCAATAATGTGTTTTAGCAGACGCTCGACAAGCTTCAGGCCATTCATTGTGTGGGGTCCCTGTATTGTTACGGGGAGGGAGGGGTCACTCCGCGTTAAACAGCACAATGCAACTTCGTAGGGTTACCTATTATATGTTAGGAGGACCCCCCACCCTGTAATAGTGGTATAATTAATGGGAATATAAGAGGGCCCTAATATAATCACCATTATCCCTTGTAGTCACTATTACTGGGTGGGGGGTGCACCAATTATATAGCATTGAGAATATATAGGCAGGTATAATAGCGCAAGTCTGACATGTATCGCACGAACTACCCATGATTTCCAGGAACCTCCGTATTGCCATGACGAATTGCTTCCACGACTCTAAATAACATTATGTCGAGACGCTCCGGATATGACTGGCGTGTTTTAGTCAAAGTTCAAACCCTAAACCCAAAAGCCTAAAACCGCGTGATACGAATTGTCTTCGGCGACTCCTGCCTACTCAGATCTCTGATAATACAAGGCGACAGGCTTGCTACTGCCACCTCTGGTCTAGGGTAGGTTTGGGGGCCCCATAAAAATGGAATTCTGATGGCCTTATAAGGATTATATGGGGATTAAGAGTAGTCAACTTTAAACAAATATGTTCAAACCTGACCCTTTGGTACCCGCATACGCCCGAAACACCATCATTCCTTTCACCGCGTGTCCAAAATTTGTACGTGGATGTTTTGCAAACTGAGTGTCTCCCTAGATGCACGAGTCGAAATGAAATGCCCGACCAGAGACGTACAATATTCTGAGACACAGTATCAGGCCAGACATTTACACCAACTTCTGCAGCCTTGCCAGTTGTGAGATTGCTCACGCAGTGGTCTGTCAAAAAAACCGCAAGGCCGAGCAACTCAAGAGAGGTTGAAAAATGCTTGTGTAATCCGCTCATACGGGAACTTCTGCCCTCCACCTAGCTTGCCTCCATTAATAAAATCGCGACTCCAGACCTTAAGCTGACGGCGGCTGCTATAGCGGGTCCCCTAGAAGACCCTAGAGATTTGGGGCTTTAGATTTGGGGGTTTAGAGTTTTAGGGCTTAGGGTTGGGGATTGTCAAGGTGTGAAGTACAGGTTCTCAATTACAGGGTCTCTGCTACAGGTCGAAACTTACGGACATCCATTCTGGAAACCTCTCATGCACTCACATTAGATCTTCCTAGCTGAATCATACTAATCCCAAAGCCTGAAATGAGCTATAGTCTCAATTCCTAGTATCCCCCTTAATAACCCCTATAATACTCGCCTATATAATCCCCCTTAAAAAAAAATAGCTTATAGCTCACATGAGCCACGCAGCCACCACTTGGTGTCAGGTCGGGTGCTGTTGTTTTGAAGTGCCAAGATCTTCGTCTCATTGGCGGGGACCACTTTACCTCTCCCTTTTGAACTAACCGGTTCTTTAGTAGGGAGGAAGGGAATATGACCCGTAAAACATCCCAGAGTATATTCCCTAACTCCCAGTAAGCAATAGTACCTAAAGAGCCCCCGAGTCCTGCCGTGTGGGTCAATGCGGGCACGATAAGAGCCGTCGCGCTGCCGTTCCCCCGTTAGGCGGGCCTGTCGGGCGGCATGTTGTTTCAGTGGGATCCATAGGATTGACAACCTGGATGGCTGCTCAGTTATTTGAGCTGTAGTCTAAAACTCCTTAAAGGGGGTTATATAGGGGACTACTATAGGGGTTATCAAGGATACTAGGACTTTAGAGTACGGCTCATTTAATTCCAGTTACGAAAATGTGGATGCGGTAAGAAAGGTTTTCTTCATAACGGTTTTTCAGTTTACGCTAATTTCCCCGACAATGTCTAGTCAGTGTAGCAGCATACTCTCAACTCCCCAAGCCACTCGTTGGAGCTTAAAAAGTTGGTGGGGTGTAGAGTTTAGGGTTTTAAGGTTTAGAGCATAGGGTTTGGGGTTGAGAGTATGGGGTCTAGGGCCTAGAGTATAGACTTTAGGGCTTAGAACATAGGGTTTAGGGTTTAGAGTATAGGGTTTAGGGTTGGGAGTATGAAGTTTAGGGTTTGGAGTATGGGGCTTTGGGCTTAGAATATAGGGTTAAGGGTTTAGAGCACAGGGTTTAGGGTCGGCCGGCTCCCAGCTGAGTAAGACAAGTCTAGAGCCCGTAAAAAGAGCCTCAAGCCTCCCACAAATCTCCAGGCCTCTCTGGGGCCAAAACCTGAATAATGGATCATTCCCCTTGGCAGTAACTGTCCTTAAAAGGTTCTCATTAAGGAACCCTAAACCCTAAACCCTGTTACTGTAACGGGGGAATTACCCGACACACTTGGGCAGCCTTTCCAGGCCCAAGCGCCCAAATCTCAAGCCTCTGCTGTTTCATGAAGTCTGTACTACTTCAATCGCTTCCCGCGAAGACAACCCCCCCCCGCCCTGTAATCATAAATAATCCGGAACCTGAAAATTGTTCAATTTTGGAACTTTACTTATCGCAAGAATTAGCTAGGGCTGCCTTTAAAGTCCTTTCAAATTCCATGGAGAATCAACAGTTAATTAAATCAGTATTAGTAAGTCACAGCGATTCATAGTACGTTGAATGTTGAATCAATTCAGATTACACAAGTAATTAATCAGTTGAGACACTCACCAATAATTTCAGAGCCCCCGTAACTCATTATCAGGTGACTCCGTGATGACCTTTCCATTTAAGACTAGGGCAGTTTAAATACATTCCGGGAAAGCAATTACTTGTGAATCCCCCTTGGAATGAGCCCTTGCTGCCCTATGAAGAACTATGCCCTATAAGACTACATATGAGCTAGGGTCTGAGCTCCTAGCATCAACGTTTGTGAGCCGCATAGTGGTCCCCTACATAGTCGCCTTCATAACCCCCTTTAAGGAGTTTAGACAGTAGCTCATGTATGCGACTGTCATTGAAAGGTGGGGGCTTCATATGTAGCAGGATAACCTGCAAAACAAGAAACATGCCCAAGCAAACCAGACCACCCTGACTGTTCTGGAACTGTCGACACCCTAAAGCAACAAACGCCTGTAGAAAGAGAATACCTCAGGTGGACCCTACCGACCCCACCCAGTAATAATGACTATAAGGGATAGTGAAACTTATATCTGTTTATTCAGGTCTTCTTATACTCCATGTAAACAGCTATTACAGGGTGGCGGGTCCACCTAAAGAATACCCATCCCGGTAAAAGTGGCTTCTGGTTCACTGTTGCCTCCAGCATATGCGAACGGCCGAAGACCTGGGCGGCAGAGGGACATGAGATTTTCTGCAAAAATGTTCGTTGTAGAAGCCGGGAATGATTACCAGGTGGATAGTTCCAAATTCCTGTATAATTGTAGTATACATCAAACAGACATCAAACATAAGATTCATGATGATTAAGGCCCCCAACAGTACCCTGGAGAATCCTTGGCGAAACATGGATTGTGACACAGGAGATCTACTGTGGTAGTTTCCACGAGGGTCTGAGGTTCTGCGGGGTCAAAGCTGAGGTGCCTTGAGGGTGCAGAGTTTCCAAGCAAAGGGAGTTTCTCGTCATTTAAAGGCCCATACAACAGGTTGTAATATGGAGGTCTATATTGGGACCCCCTATTAACGGACCCCCCACCCCCCCCCCCCTCCAACCTCACGG